CTGCTCTTAATTAAATACACGTGGTCCTGGAAATTACAATTGCAACTTTGACTTTCCATTCTTTCTATTATCCCTCAGATAGCATACCTCCACTGTTGATTCTCTTCCTCACCACATGCAGCCAGCCCTATAAAGTCTATACTAAGAGGGTTTGTTATTAGGTATGCAACCAGCAGCACACAGAAAGCATTAAATATTGTTTCTAGGGCTGGAGAGATGGCATGGCAGTTAAGAGCACTTGCTGTTCTTGCAGAGAACCTGGGTTCAGTTTCCAGCATCCACAGACAGCTTACAACTGTCTAGAATTCCAATTCCAAGGAATTCAGTGTCCTCTTCTGGCACCTAGGGGCACAGGCATGCATACAATATACTTTACATTCAAGCAAAACACTCATACATATAAAGTAAAACTAAATTTTTTAACAAAATTAAAAATAAAAACTGTGACTATATTAAACATGTAGACTTTTTTGCTCTACCATTTACTTTCTAAACATCACATTGTAATAAGTATTTATGTACCATTTACATTGGGGTAGGTATTATAAATAATGTAGAGGTTATAAAACTATATGGGAGGTTAATATAGTTTCTATGCAAACACTATACCATTTTATAAAAGGATCTTGGGCATCTATGAAAATTGATATTAAGGGAGAGGGACCTAAGAATCAATCCCCCACAGATACCAATACCAAGGAACAAACTAGAGTTTACCAACACAACACACAAAGGTAGAAAGATACGTACAGACATACTCCCATTTTCAGCATTATAAAACTCTTCCAACAACAAAGAAAGTTGAGACTAGAATGGAAATGGTTATAACACTGGAACCTTGTTCTGGTGGAAAACACAGCCATAACTCTATCTGGAACTAAAGCTGACAAAATGAAAATATTCTAACAGAAGGCAGTTTTGCCCTCACCATACTGTATTATGTTAGGCAATCGAGCTCTTTCCCCCACTGCTGTAATTACACAATGAAACCCCAGATGTCATTCATATACACAGAAGTCAGACAATGGGTTGAGAAGGGATCCTTTCTTTATTTGCATTGCTAATAGCTTTTGAAAGGATAGGAAAAATTCTATATGGAGAACAATGGACATCCAAACATTCGTCTATGTTTAATAACAATATTTGGTAATCAACTAGTATTCTTGGAACTTGCCCAGCAACCAGTTTTGGCCCCCCTTTGATTACACAGAGCATGAGGCTAAAGCACAATCTCTAGTATGGGGCCCTGTTAAGTTACTAACCTCCCACAACTCCAAGCTTTCCTTTCCTAGAAATTCTGCTTTTCCAGCTGCCATTCCACATGATATACAATGGAGTACATGCTGTTCTGTTTCCCTTATTCCCACTAACCTAGGAAATTCAAAGTCATCCTTTGAACACACCTGCACAGTAGTACTCAGCTTGCAGGAGTGGATGGCTGTCTGCTACCCCTGATCAACAATGATCCAAATGAAAGACCTCCATGACCTCCGCATAGTGTAAGGCACTTTTCACAACATTAAGAATCAATCACTACTTGCTAAATTAGAAGTCTTAAAAATATATATATTAAAATCTGCCACCTGATTTCCAAATATCAACATCACACTATATAAAATATATAAAGACACACAATATAAAAGACTATAGCAGTGAAGCCACACCCTTAAACCATCATTGTTCCTGCTTCTCTGAGAACATCCAGCCACAAAACACCTTTACCTCGTTCACCAACCCTACAGAAGGCCAGCGTTCTGCCTCAGCTTCCTCTGCCACCTCTGCCAAAGGGCTTCCCTCAAATTCACAAGACTCCCTTCATGCCTTAGGACCACAGCCCAGATGCTCTCAGACTTTCACTGGTTCTGACTCAATGACAACTGTAACAGCATTTCCCTCGTCCAATCTCTTACCCCTTGGTTATACTGTACCTATGAAAATCAGTCTATAAAGCCTTAATAGGATAAGACTCTATGTTGATCATTTTTCCTAGACCACAATAGCAGTTCTCCTTAAACTACCTACATATGCATTATACTTTTGAGTAAAAGGTCACAGATGCAATCTACCAGACCCCAGGGTTCCAGGCAATGAAATAACCTACAAAATTTTGCAGGTTCCAAAAGAAGTCTAATTCTAGATGCTGAATCAGGTTTAAGACTCCAGCAGGACCTAGATCTTGGTGTAATTTGTCCTTTGGGTGCCAATATTCTGGAATGGGCAGTCTCTTAGACACTTCCATCTTACCTTGTGTTTCTTTCATAATAGTTGCTATACGTAGACCTGGGCCAAAGGGCTTTGTTCTTTAGGGAAATACAATTATCTTCTAATTTTGCTGGAAGAATCCCAGACACTAATGATTTAACACTGTTAAAAGTGCAGAGAGCGGCCGGGCGGTGGTGGCGCACGCCTTTAATCCCAGCACTCGGGAGGCAGAGCCAGGCGGATCGCTGTGAGTTCGAGGCCAGCCTGGGCTACCAAGTGAGTTCCAGGAAAGGCGCAAAGCTACACAGAGAAACCCTGTCTCGAAAAACCAAAAAAAAAAAAAAAGTGCAGAGAGCATCTAAGTCCAATCATGCTGTCAAATGATATGTTACCTTCTGCATAAGGAATGTACTTTTAAGGAGATGACAGGAAGAAACTTTATGGAATTAATTTCAGAGATGTTTTGAAGAAGTGTTATTTTTGAGAACTGGTATGTAGATCAGTAGTAGACAGAGCACTTGCTTAGCAAGTATGAGGCCATAAGTTTGAACCTCAGAACTACAAAAGGGATTGGGGGATATTTACAAGTGATGTTAGGGAATTTAAAATTAGTATGACCCAGTGTTAAAAAGGTAAAGTTTACAGGAGACTATCTTCCCAAAACATATAGCCCTTATATACTTAAAACACTACAACTGAATCTTACCAGATTTTTCCATAACACTTTGCAGTTATCACCCAAGTTGTCCACATGACACTGTAGATTAAACCAGACTCACCATTCAATATTTGGAATCCATTCACTAGTACAAGTACAAATTGGGTACCAAAAAGTTATGATCATGAGTTTTAACAAGAAGCCATGGTTGTTTCTAGCATCTGTTCTTGGTCTTTGTGCTTTGGTGGTAGAATAGAAAACTAGTGTGCCCCCCCCCCAGTGTCTTGTAGGTGGCTGAAGGATGGAAACATTGGGAAAAAGCAGCCTCCTGCCTTTAAGCATTGACTTTAAAGGATAGCTCAGTAACAGAGAACCTAGGAGAACCTTGGAGACCTGGAGAAGAATTCTCATGACCTATAAGAGGATTAAACCTTTGATTTTATTTCTAAGGCTCTTCCAGTTCCATGTTATAAGCCAAAGGAATCCACATCCTGTCACATCAAAACAATTAGTCCACAATTCAGACCATTTGCAGGCAGTCTGTGCTGACCCAGACTGGAGGGAATCTCTGTTTTAGAAGCCGATCTGTCCTACCACGTGAGTTTGCTGCCTTCTTTTTTTTTTTTTTTTTTTTTTTTTGGACACTCTGGAGAATCCTGATAGCTTCTGCCCCTCTGAATGGAATTCAGGCCCCAGGTAGATAAATGTGTGTTCTCAAGCAATTTTCACTAAGGTAAAAAGCACGCTTCAAAACTAAAGGTACACAAGAGATGTGTGAAACCTTCATACAAGTTTTCCTGTAGTCTTTTTTTCTCCCCTAGTGAGGCCCCAGCACACTGGTGAGTAATTCATTCATGTCACCCATTTGTGAGAGATGAGAAAAGAAACCACCACTTGTCCTCTTCCTAATTTAGAACCTTCCCCTATCTTGAGTCTATCAAAGGAATCCTGAGGTGGGAAGGCAGGAGAGGCAAGAGGAACATTAGCCTCAGGTGACTGAACCCACAAGAGAGGAAGCACTTTGAGTCCTCACCTATGTCAGTACAGGCATCTGCACTTAGGTGATGTGCCACCTCCACCCCGACCCACCCCACCCCCGTGTCCCCTTGAAGGGAGAGTCTGAGTTCTCTCTCTTGGGACACTTACATAAGACCCTGTAAAACTTCCTGTGATATTCACGGAAAATGTAAGCTGCTATTTTGCTCCCTCGGGAGATCATTTTAATGGACTGAGTGACAAAATTCACGGATTCGGAATTCAGCAAAAACCTACTCAACCGAGGTACACACAGGAACAGGAGGGAAAAAAATGCATCCCCATTAAACAGGGTCACCCAGGGGATAGACTGGGTGTGCAAAAAACAATCTGTTCCCTCAGATGTGACCCATTTAAAAGCACATTGCTTCGAGGAAGCGCATAGGTTTAATAAATCTCACACAGGCAAAGACATGGCTTGTAGGAAAGAACTGTGGTTACACATAGGGAGCATTTCAAAGTGATGAACAGCGTAACTCCATGATGCACAAACTTTAGTCGTCATCCAACCTCCAGAAGCCATGGCATTCACAGGAAGCTCTGGCTAGACCCTGATTACTACAAGAAGTTTAGTCTCACAAGAAACATCAGGTGTGTTGGTTGGGTCTTTCTCCTGTGGGTATCCACGCCAACCAACCACTCTAATCTAAAAAAGCTTCTTGCAAAAATGTGGATGCACACCCCCAAACCTCTCTTCGACCAATTGGAAAGAAAGTTCTCGGGGCATCCCATCATGAAAGGCAGGTAGGTGAGCAACGCAGAATGTCGGGAAAAGGTCCCAATGTGGTGGGAATACAACACCTCCAGATGTTAGGGAACACACACACACACACACACACACACACACACACATCCCACCCCACTATTGCCTACCAACATCCTGTCCGCCTATGAGTCTGTCAGAGCCTGACACAGATTCTGGGGACGCCGGAGATTTAGAGTCTTCCACCTCCTGCTTTTCCAGTACTCAAAGCCAAGTCAAAAACGGTGTGCCCTCCCTCTTCCCCAGCATCCTAAGCACATCGGGTACCAGCCACAGGTTTGGACAACTTGTCCAGCACTGCTCACCAAAGCGCTTCACGAAGAGGTTCTCTAGGGCTCTTACCTTGGCCTCGACTACCCCCAAGCAGAGGAACACTCCGGAAGAGCTGAATGGCGTGGTGACACTGACGCCTATGAAATGAAGGGGGTCCGGATCGGCATCCCAGCAGGTGCTGTTTTAACCCAACCGTCGGTCCCAAGCGCAGACTTCGGGACAGCCTTAGGCTCCAAAAGCTACAGGAAAGGTCCGTAGCCCCACTAAGCACTAATCCCCTCTTTCTCCTCCTCCTGGGCAGCTGCCGGGAGCTGTTTCACTCCAGGAATCTACCAAGCCCAGGGCGCCTCGCATGGGCAGGGGACTGGGGCCGCCCTAGGTTGGGTCCCGGGAACCAACGCCAGGAAGAAACGCTGAGCGGCCGCCCGCCCTACCAGTTCCACCTCCCGCGCTCCTAGTCGCTTAGTCCCTTCAGGGCAGGGCCTGCCTGCAACCCGCCCGGCGAGACGAGTGCGGCCGCGCCCCCGGCTCCAGGCGCCCCGGCTTGGGAGCAGCAGCAAGGCAGGGGGCAGCTCAGCGGGCCCCGGTACCGAGCGCAGCGAGCGAGTGCAAGACTAGCGGTACCGGCTCGCAGTGACCCTCTCCCCGGGCCTGCGCGCCCGCCCGCGGCTCCACGAGAAGCGGGCGCTGGAAAGGGCCTCGCCCTGGCCTGGGGCGCGGGACCGGGGGCTTGGGGCCGAGGTAGGCGCCCGCTGGAAGGTCACGGCCACCGGGGCGCGGCGAGCGGGACGCAGCACTGTGGGTGCGGGGAACCCGGGCAGGCGGCCCCCGCCACCGCCGTCGCCACCTCCGAGACGCTCCGGCTTCCCGGAGCGCTAAGGTTTGGAGCCGCGCGTCCGCTGCAGCCGCCGTGGGCAGCCTGGAGCCGCGAGCCTAGGGAGCGCGATCCCCGCTTCCCGCGCGAGGCCGAGCGAGAACCTCTGTGCGGGGAGCCGCGTGGGAGCGCGCTGGCGGGCGCTGGGGTCCGAGCTCCCGGATAGTCCGGCAGCCGCCGCGTGCCTAGAGCGTCGGGCTCGCTCGGCAGCTGCAGTGACTGTGTGTCTGTGTCATGTCTGTGCAGCTGGGGGGGTGCAATCCGGGACCGGGTTCCGAGCAGGGGCGGGACCGGAGCCTGCCTCGGGGCCCCGCCCCCATCCCCGTGACCGCACGGGCGACCAATGAACAGCACCAGGAATGAGCGACTGGAGGGTCCGCCCTACTTAGGCTCCGCCCACGGCCAAGCACCTCCCACCGCCCCTTGGCTCACTGGAACGCAGGAGGAAGCAACACCCGGAGCAGGGATCCCGGGCCGGGTCGCCGGGAAAGGGTGCTAGCTGGAGCTCCCCGCCCTTCTTCCCCAACTCGGGCTGTTCCTGGCTGCTCCGGGATTGGAGGAAAGAGGGGGAAGGGAGGCGGGCCGGATGCGCAGCTGCTGCTGTAGGGATGTCTGCCGGGAGCGTTACCATGCCATCCCTTTTATAAAACAGCGGTCTTTGGGAAGTAGGAAGTTTCCCCTGCTTTTTCTTCTGCTGGGGACACGGCTCTCCCCGAGATGGACAGGGTATGGGGCAGCTGGAGATGCGAAAAGTCTCTCCTGAAGGTTTTGACAGCATCTGTTTGGATTCTGAATCCAAGAATCCTGTGCAAGACTTTTTTTTCCCCTGGGGGAACTATATTTTTGTGTCTTCCCCAATATATACATACACACACAGATGTGCCCCCTTTCTAATTTTATTCTTGCTCAAAATGCCGCGTGCAACATCCCACTGGAGGGACTTCCAGCCTCCGGGTGTTAATGATGAGGGTGGGAATGTCGAGAGTCCGCCCATGCAGCGGAAGGAGCGTGTGGATTTGGTTACGGTAAAGGGGACTGGATGTCCCTCGGGAGAAAACCCCATGAGGCTGAAGCAGAGTCTGGGAAAGAGGACCCCGGCGTATGGACAACTCCGACTGGAAAACCGAGCTCCGAGAGCGCGATCCAGCTACCGGGTTTTCCCCTCAACTCGGTCCCAGGGCTTCCAGGGTCCCCTTCCCTGGAGTCCTCACCTCTTCCCAATCCTGTTAGCCACTGAGTCTCTGCTTTCCCGGTGCCTCTCTCCACAGGCAGCCCACCTACTTTCTTTTAAGGGCTAGGAAGGATGGAGAGTGGAGGGGTACGTAAGAAAAGACCGCCTAGCTAGGCGGTCTTTTAATCCTCGATGACCATCCTACCCGAGGTGGGCCACCGCTCTACCCTGGGATTCAGGGATTCAGCACCTCTCTGATCGCCCCCCCGCCCCCCCCCCCCCGCATCCCCAGCTCTTAGCCTTGGTACCTACAGTACCCTTGGGCCGTCCTTTGATCAAACCGACACTCTTGCCCCCCACTCCAGGCTTCCCTCCAGACTCTGGAAGCCAAGACCCGGTTCCCAATGCTGTTTACCTATCAGTGGTAATCCCAGTCGAGGAGGATATGAAAGCGGTTGTACAGCAAAGTCCATGGCAAAGAAGTAAAAAACCTTTGTTTTGGAGCTTCGGGATAGTTAATTGCGATGCCGGGGTCCTGATGTCTTATCTCTGCCGGGATGAGTCTCACCATGAGAAATAGTAGATCGTATCTAGTGTTGATGCCATTATTGTATCGGAGAAGAGCATTATATGATAAAGATTATCTAATAACCTAGATGCCATTAAAGTGTCCAAGTTTAATGTCAAGTCTTGTAGCTCGAAGGCAGCTCAGTGCTTCCTCAGACGTACAGCTTTGTTCTAGAACTCCCAGAAAACAAGGGGATTTTTGTTTGTTTGTTTGTTTTGTTTTGTTTTGTTTTGTTTTGTTTTTGCAAAGCACTGCTTCTTCCTACTCTCTCTAACCCCACACCAGTTCTCGCCTTGGAACTGGGTAGTTAAAGCAGGAATTTGTGCTTTCTTTTTATTTATTGCCTCGCTTCACTTCATTAATGGTGTAAAAGTCTATTTTTACAATACATTAGCATGTTAATAAGGGCAAGGGAAGAGAGTCTTGGAATTTACAAGCAAAGAAGGAAATAATCGAATTAACACCAGAAATGCAAAGATGAAAAACGTGGGAAACATCTCCTTTGTAATAACACAAGGATGGTACCTTGTCTAGATCTTTGAAATGCATGAGCAGAATGGGAGGAGAGAGCAATGTTCACTGGGATCACTGAGGTTTCATAGTTACTAGGGGTTTCATTGACTAACATGGGTCAGTAAGCTCCTTAGATGCTGAAAAGCTTCCCCATCAACTCAAGGTTCCAGTTGTACACCAGCACTGTATGTACTGGGCTAAAGGGGGAGTTTATTAGACTGTTCGATCCCACAGACAGCACTGGTTAGTTCCTATCATAAGAAGTCCCATATTTTAATTTTTTTCCCTTTGGAAAACTGTTAAGCTTTTAAACCTCCCAGTCTAAGCACCTCTGTGTGTGTGTGTGTGTGTGTGTGTGTGTGTGTGTGTGTGTGTGTCCTGAAGTTGGAAGTGATTGCCTAAGAATTATAGGTCTTTGACACAAACCAAGATATCAATGTCAAAAAAAATGATTTTGGCTATGCATAATGTAGTGTGAGGAATGCAATAAAGAAATATATCTGTTATTTCTAAAGAATCAGAGCAGATTTGCTAAAAACTAAGAAACAGGAAAGTATTGTACTCTTTAAACCAACTGCTATTTATCCTCACCACCATTGCACCTGTCACTGAAAAGTCTCTCCGTCTCTCTCTCTCTCTCTCTCTCTCTCTCTCTCTCTCTCTCTCTCTCTCTCTCTCTCTCTCACTGAAAAGTCTCTCTCTCTCTCTCTCTCTCTCTCTCTCTCTCTCTCTCTCTCTCTCTCTCTCTCTCTCTCACACACACACACACACACACACACACACACACACACACACACACACACACACACATCTGTCCTTTCTTCTGTCTTCTCTTTTCTCCTCTTTGTTAGGGTCATACAGAATGAATCTTAAGAAACCAGAGGTCTTAAAACAGCCACTAGGGGGCCATAAAGGCACCTCAGACATCTCTCACCTCCCTGGTTTCTGACCTCCTTTTCTGAGTACCTTAACCTTAGGATGACAGACACACACTACCATGCCAGCTTTTTTATAAGGGTTCTAGGAATCCTAACTCCAATCCTCATGTTTGCAGAGCAAGTCCTTTACCACATTGAGCCATCTCTCCAGCCCCACCTTGGAGGCTGGGTTCCAGTCAGTAAGTGATGGCATTAGTGGGGTGCTGGTGCTGTAGGAAGGATGAAGACAACTAATGCTTGAATACAGAGGAAATGATTCAGGTTGGAGACTGTAGCAGGGGACACTGACCATTCAACAGGGAAAAGTTTCGATATCTTAATAATGTTGCATTTGTCAAAAACAACTAAATTTTAGGTACTCTTGGTAGGTTGCCTAACACTTAAATGTTCAGGTTTTCAGAATCCTTAGCAGTCATATAATCTGTCCCCCATCTTACCACTAAGTATGGTTAAGATGTCCTTTATGAGAGTTGAGAATCAAACAATGCCTTGGTAGCTCAGGCTAGAGAAGCAGAATTGCTCTCCAACCAATACTGGAGAAATAAATATCTGTAAACAATATTCTATCTAGACATGTTTCAAGTGAAAATTTAATCAGGCATGAAACATTCCTCTGTCATTCTGGCCAATAATCAAAAGACATTCCTAGGCAAAGCAAAATGCACCCATCAGGGAGACACAGGGAAGAAGCCACTTGGTGAAAAATTAAAGAATGTTATAAAAGCCATCAAATTAACACTAATGGAAGTGTGATTTGAACACAATTTAACTGAAAACAAAGCAAGTCCAGAAGTGAGGCATGAAATAGAGAATGAGGATAAAGTCTGTGTGAGTTGAAAAAATATTTTATGTTCTCGTCATCATGTTCATTAAGCAGGCTGGATACAGGTGATCCCAAAATAGCATTATTAACTTCTGGAAGATTTGCTAACTCAAACCTCAGAGCCTGATAATTAGAATGAATTTGTCTCTAGATGGTGGATTCCATTGTCTGTAGGAGTAAGGGTGTATTCACTCATTGACTGTGAGAGGCCATCAGAGTCAAACCTCATCAGGTAGATAGCTCCCTAGACACCTTAAGAAAAAACAGAAAAGGAAAGTCACAGCCCTCTCTGGACAGAAGGATACTTTTGGTGCTAAAGAGGTCAACAAAAAAGGCAAATCAAAATTCTCTTCTCAGGTCCTGGTAAGGGGGAACTTCAAGCTAGTGTGACATAAGACCCCAAGACAGAAATATAAAATGTAAACATGTTCTGGAAATAACAGGGATGTATAGCTTTTGGAGTTTGTGAGTTAAAAGGGTGGAAATGACTTGGTGCGCATGTTTACAGCCCCTGCTTCCCACCTCCTTTATTTGCTTTAAAAAAAAATCCAAAAACCTGCAGAGTGAGATCACCTGCTGAGTCAGTAGGTGTGGGCTGGAGTCTGGGGTTCTGCTTTCTAAGCAGAGCTGTCCACAGACCACACCTTGAGTGGGATGTAGAAGACATCCGTTAGTAGTATGCATTCTCCTCTTCCTGTTTCACTCTGTTAGGATACCTCAAAAGATAAACCCAGAGGCAAGGATTTGAAATTAGGAAGTTAATTTGGAAAGTGATACCAACAAGCAGAATAGGGTGGTTTCAGTGCTCCCAGCAGCCATGTGTTGAACTCCCAATGTAATAGTATACATGGGTGGGCCATTAAGAGCTAAGTAAATCATGAAAGAGCTGCCCTCACTTGTGGGATAAATGGCAATTTTATCAGAATGCATGAGTTCACTCTCCTCTGCCCTTTTGCCATGTGAGGACCATATTTCCACCCTTTCCTTGCCCTTCTAATTCCACCATATAAGAAGACACAACTCCTCCCTCTATGATATAAAGAAGACGCTCATCAGAGAGAGAACCAGATATGGCCTTGAACTTGGACTTCTCAGCCTCCAGAAATGCAAGAAATATATCCATATTGTTTATAAATTACCCCATCTCAGATATTTGGTTACAACAGCATAAGTGAGGTAAGGGTGTGAGGAAGTGAAATAGAGAAGGGATAAAGGCTCATAAGGGCTGAATGACGAAGTGCTCAACCTAAGTCGGCCCTT